ACTGGTCCTTCTCTGGTCCTTGGCTGGTCCTTCTCCGGTCCTTCTCTGGTCCTTGGCTGGTCCTTGGCTGGTCCTTCTCTGGTCCTTCTCCGGTCCTTCTCTGGTCCTTGGCTGGTCCTTCTCTGGTCCTTGGCTGGTCCTTCTCCGGTCCTTCTCTGGTCCTTGGCTGGTCCTTGGCTGGTCCTTCTCTGGTCCTTGGCTGGTCCTTCTCCGGTCCTTCTCTGGTCCTTGGCTGGTCCTTGGCTGGTCCTTGTCTGGTCCCCTACAATTCCTTTTTTAACATTAATCTTTGTACTAAAATATTCTTTCTGTCATAATTTGTAGACATTAAGATCTAAAGAGAAGCGCCACCTCCTGGTCAGACCTATAATTCAGTGAAAGGGTGGAGTCAAAGTAAAAAAATATGTTGGGGTCATGGAGGGGATTTTGCTGCCATTTGGCTGGCGACTGGGAAGGGCCTTTTTGAATGGCTGCTACTGCAATTGAAACATGGGTCAACCAGACAGATCTATTCTAGAATTGCGCTGCTGAAGGTTAGACTAGCCCTGCTAGCCTCACTCTGATATTCTGACTCTACTTCCTCTGCTTGTGGAGTTTCTTTTTTCTCATGTTTTTCTGCTTCTAGTGTTGAATGCTGTGAAACTGGAGGATTTTTTACTGATATTTTTTTTACTTTTTGAATACTTGTTGTAATGCATAACCATGGCAGACCCTTTTACTCCTGGGACAAGCTTCTTAACGCTTCTAAAGTTCAATACAGCTCAGTTTATCTCTATATAGCCAATTCACATCATGTCATCTCAGGTCACTTTATAGATCCAGATTAACCAGATCATCCAGTCAGATTGATTCAAAGTTTCTGACCTAAGGAAAACCAATTGATTGCATCAACTCATTGACTCTTCAGCAATCCCCCTGAAATAATTATTCATCTACTCCCACGAGTTGAAAAAGAGGAGGTGCTGCGGATGCAGAGCAGGAGAAGATAGAGGAGCAGGAAATATAAACCACCTCTTCCATCAGTCATCATGGGCAATGTGAGATCTTTAGGAAACCAGTTAGAAGAACTCCCAGTCCCAGCAAGGACCCAGTAAGAATATCAGCAATGCAGCATTTTGTGTTTAACTGAAACCTGGCTGCAGGATCATATCTGACTCCAGCGTCTCTCTGCCTGGCTGTCTGAGCAAACCAGCAGAGATTTAAAGGAGACTGGAAAACTATAAGGAGCTGGTTAGCAGCATTAGTGAACAACAGATGATGTCATGCGGGATAGATGATGTCATCCAGGACAGATGATGTCATCCAGGATATGTTAGGGTGACGATTCATCACTGCAGCCCAGATATTGACCTGATGGCAGATGGTTTTCCTCCATATTATTTATCCACAGAGTTCAGCAGTGTTCTGTTGGAAACTGTTTATATTCCACCTTCTGCTGTTGCCATCACTGCATGTGTTGTCATCAGCTCTGTTGCTAAGCTACAGACACAGCAGCCAAATGCATTTGTGGTAATAACTGGTGATTAGGTCCTTCGGGTGCTGCAGATTAGTCTGATCTCTTCCTCCATCATCTTTTGGGGTAACAGCATCAGAGCTAATGACTGGAAGAAGCTCAAACAGCTGATATAGAAGGTGACTCTGTTCTACAGAGGGTTCGTCCTGTCTACAGCATCAATATCTACAACTGGTTTAAAAAATTACCACTGCAACATTTAACTAGAGCTGGGATTATTAAAGTATTTTTGAATTGAACTGGACTGAATTGTTTGGTACTGCAGGGCTAGGTCCTTTATTGTGGTTTTTTTTTAGCTGTGGCAAGAATTAGAAAAGATCTCTGGATTATGGCACCAAGGTAACATAGAGCCCCCCCACCCCCCCCTCTGAGCTCTGCTGTCTGTCAACAGGCAGTGCCACTGCTGCCATTTAAAGAGGGCCACAAGGTGCCAGCTCGCCCCCCCCTCCCTCAGTGCTATGACTCATCAGAGCGTGTCCCTCACGTCCCCCTCCACCACTCACAACCCGGCAGCCGACCCCTCCACAACCACCGGCCCGAAGAGCGAAAGGCCAGCTGCAGGAACGGAGCGCATAGCGTAAGACCTGCTCAGCCTCTCCATGCTTGTCTCCAACCCCACCAGTCCTGAACATCTCCTCATCCTCATCATCAACCAGCATCCTGAGCCTTCATCTTCACCTGGTCGGGTCATTCTAAGACTCAGCCTAAGATCTAGATAGGACAGAAGTGATCCCTTGATCTACAACAGACGGGCGTGTTCCTTAACCTTAGATCTAGAACAGACAGAGATGTTTCCCAGCCTTTGTCCCAAAAGTTAGAAAATTTCTATTTAAAAAAAACAATCTGTGTTTTTTTTTTAGTTGTCTTCTGCAGGCGTCAGCCTGAACACCTAAATTCGGCCAATCAGATATCAATGGTCATCTGTCAATCAAATTGTTTCGGTCATAGCATC